TGAGATGTAAAGTCAGAATTGCGAGATGTAAAGTCAGAATTGTGAGATGTAAAGTCAGAATTGCGAGATGTAAAGTCAGAATTGTGAGATGTAAAGTCAGAATTGCGAGATGTAAAGTCAGAATTGTGAGATGTAAAGTCAGAATTGTGAGATGTAAAATCAAAGAATCAACAAGCTGCAAGAAGAGACCTGCGTCTGCTTTTGTTTATTAGTGGACTTTTAGGCGTGCGCAGAGGGGTCTTGCTCTTGTCCCAAAGTGTGAGATGTCACACTCAAGGCTCCAGGCCTGGTGTAAAAACTATTCAGGGACACCAGCAGAAGTTATGAAAGAGCTTCTAGCAAAGCAAAAAGAGCCGTGACAGTCTGCCACAGAATGAACAAGAGCTTCAGCTGCCAAAACATCACTGCAGTTTTCATAAACAGCTGCACATTGAGTCATTCCTCAACATTAGTAACATGGCTTTGTCAATATACTCTACCATCTCTTCTGCTCACAGAGGCTGCATTTATTTGATCAAAAATACAGTAAAAATTTGAAATATTATTATGATTTAAAATAGCTGTTTTCTATGTGAATATCTGTTAAACTGTAATTTATTTCTGTGATGCGCAGCTGTATTTTCAGCATCATTACTCCAGTCTTCAGTGTCACATGATCTTCAGAAATCAGTATAATATGCTGATTTGCTGCTCAAGAAACATTTCTGATTATTATCAATGTTGAAAACAGTTGTGCTGCACAATATTTTTGTGGACACTGTGATACTTTTTTTTTTCCAGGATTCACAGATGAATAGAAAGTTCAACAGAACAGCATTTATTTGAAATAGAAATATTTTGTAACATTATAAATGTTTTTATTGTCACTTCTGATCAATTTATCATGGAAGCTTGTTTCCACAATAGGATTAAAAGAAAGATAATTGCAACTTTTTATCTCACATTTCAGACTTTATTCTCACAATTCAGAGAAAAAAGTCAGAATTGTAAACTCAAGAGTTGCGAGATATACAAGTAATCCCAGAATTGAGAGATATAAACTTGCAAAAAGTCACATTTGCAGTTTATTTATTAGTTTATATCTTACAATTCAGACTTTTTCCTCTCGCAATTCTGAGAAAAAAAAAGTATTGCACAAGAAAAAAGTCTGACTTGTGAGATAAAAAGTTATGTTCTTATGTAATGTTCTGGCTTAATAAAAGTACTAATTTCTTGTAGCTAATTGTAGTGTACCTTTAACATGATTAGTGTCTGTTCAGTTAAGCATCACTATATTTCTCACACTTCTGGATGTGATCAAACCTTTAACACTAAAGTTTGTTTCTTCTCCAGACATGAATGATTCCTCAAATCATGTGTTGTTGTGGAGCATGTGCTGCCAAGTTGCTATGATGAAGGTAAGTAATTATACAGTTTCCTTAATATTTCATTATTAGCCATCCAGTAGTATTTCATCCTCTTGTGAAACCCAAACATCTCTCTCTGGAGCTCCAGAAGGACGTCTAAACCGCATCAACAGCTGATTCTGTCATATAAGCTGTTTCTCCTTTGTTTATGTCAGCAGAAACATACGAGATAACAATAATAAATCATCCACAAAAGCAGTGTTAAGTCGCTGGGGTATATTTGTAGCAATAGCCAACAATACATTGTATGGGTCAAAATTATCAATTTTTCTTTTATGCCAAAAATCATTAGGATATTAAGTAAAGATCACGTTCCATGAATATATTTTGTAAATGTCCTACCGTAAATATATCAAAACTTAATTTTTGATTAGTAATATGCATTGCTAAGAACTTCATTTGAACAACTTTAAAGACGATTTTCTCAATATTTTGATTTTTTTGCACCCTCAGATTCCAGATTTTCAAATAGTTGTATCTCAGCCAAATATTGTCCTATCATAAAAAACCATACATCAATGGAAAGATTATTTATTCAGCTTACGACTGGTTTGGTGCTCCAGGGTCACATATATGGCCTGTGTTTTGTTGAAGCAGATCAGATTTGACCTCTTTTGACCGAGTGAATAGTGAAGTCAGATGAGATTTTACCAGCTATTATTGTTGACTCCAGGTTGAAGATGAAGAGCCGGATATGTTTCCATATTTATGGAGATTTAAACTGACGGCTCTGAGATGTTATCTAGACGCAGCTACTCGCCCGTATCAACAACGCTGTTATAAGTGATTTTCTGTGCAAATTCACATGCTATTTTGTGTCTCTTGGGAATCGATGTTTCTGCGCACGTATTCTCCTCGTGAGGATTTACGGACGGTTGAGGGGGTTTTTGATTTCTTCATTGATCATAGGTGAGTTTCTTCTTGGCTCCTGAGCAGCTCAGTGTCGTTTTATTAACACTGACACAAAACACAATGCCTGCAGCGTTTCCTCCAAGCTGCATGCATTTCCTTGATGCCAACAACCTAAACGGTTTTATTAAATGGTTTAGTCATAGACTGCGATTTGTTTTATTGACCAGCCTTTTAAACACAAGGTTTGATCGCATTAGTAGCACTTGCTAGTACTAGTGATGGCTGACTCATCAGCCGAACCTGTTTCAGCTAAAGTGTTTCAGGTTAATTTTTCAATAATTTAACAAACATTCACATGTTCATAGTTTTCTGATGTTGGTTATTGGACGAATGACTAGCAGGTAGACAAAATGTTTCTATATTTATATTATGTACATTAAAAAAAACTTTTAGGAAGTGTTTTATGATTTGTTTTTGTTTTTTAATTTTCAATTGATTTAAATTTGACGTATTTAAAAAAAAAATCTAATTATTACTTAACATAAATAAACTTTCATGGAAATAAAAAAATTTAAAAAACCTCTTTTGACTATATGGATTACATAAAATAAAAACTAATAAAAATGAGAAGAAAATACAACAACAACAAAATAAAATGAAAAAAGAACATTTTAATTTAAAATTTTATTTTGAAATAATCTAATTATTACTTGAAATAAAATAAACGTTAACAGTAATAAATGAATAAAAAGTAACTTTATATAGTATTTTAACTAGTTACCAAGTTGCTAGTTGAATTTCTCACTTTTTAGTTAAACTTACTAAAATTACTAAAACTAAATAAACTAAAACTTTAGTAAAACCTAGACACATTAAAAAAACTATTTAAAAAAAATGGGGGAAAAAAGATCATAAAAATGGTATTTAAAACCTTTTTATCATTTTTTTATTGTTTTTAATTATTTTAATTTTATATTTTATATAATTAGCTTTTCATCAATTCATAAACTCCAGTTGACAAACTCTAATAAATACAGAAATGATGAATCGTGCATGCAGGTCTGATGATACTGAACCTTTCATTTGTTTTGTAACTGTAAGATGAAGATTGGCAGCATGGAGAAAAATGAGGAGAATCTGGTGTGTTCTGCTGGAGAATCAGTGCAGGTTCAGACATGAGCATTATCTGTGTTTTCATGCATCTAAATTTGTCATTTCAGAGATCTGTGAAGATCTTCATCTTTCAGAGTAACTGAGCCATTCACATTTAAAACACTGTCACAGTTTCACGTACAGGTTTCCCTCGGCGGATAACAGTGTTTGTGGCCAAATAGACTCAGCTATACTCAGCTATACAGCTATTACTACTACTGCTAATAATAATATGTGTATTTTATATAGTGTCTTCAATTCAATTATTAAACTAAATTGAGCTGAATAACAAAAATGTTTCCTTCTGTAGAGCTGCTTCATTGTTTGTTTGTTTGTTTTTCATAACTGATGCATTTTGCAATAATATCTGTTATATTTCAGTTTATTTCTGTGAAGCTGATAGATTACACAAAATATTTTAGATACTATATTACACGTTATTTTTAATTTATATGGTATAAGGTGTACTGTATAAATAAAAAATGATACATATATACATGCATATGTAAAACCTAAAACTATACCTTTTGTTTCCTAACTATGAGTTTATTTCTAATCACAGAAAGTCATTAATTTAGTGCACATGCAAATTACCATTTCTTTTCTTTGATAACATTGTTAATCGTTCTTTCATTGAAGCCTCAAGACGAGTTTTACAGCTCCTGAAGAAGAGAAAAGTCCCGTATCCTTTCAAACAATCACATGTTCTGTATGAGAACAATCGATGTGTGATGTGAGAGAGAGCAAGATAGAGCGCTGTCAGTCACTGGAGCTTTGTCATTCACAAAAAACAGAGAGAGAGAGTGAGCGAGCGAGGTTGTGCTGCAGTGGGAGTGTCAGCTTTAGTCAGTGGAGTCTTTGAAGTCCTAATAATCTCACGACACATATTCTTCACCTGAACAGGAGCAAAGTACAGCAGCGGCAGCCACAGAACAGCATGTCCTCTTTCCCACCTTGATTTGATTGTATATTCTGTACACTTCTCTGAAAGTGTGACGTCAGTCCTGTGTGAGTGTGTGTGTGTGTGTGTGCATGTTTATGTGGTTTATGAGGACACAAATTTGTATAATAACATGGGTATTACAACGAGAAGGTGATTTATGAGGACATTTTCAGTGTCCCCGTAATTCAAAAGGCTTATAAATAATTCAGAATGAGTTTTTCTGAAAATCTAAAAATGCACAAAGTTTCCTGTGAGGGGTAGGTTTAGGGGTAGGGTTGGTGTAGGACAATAGAATATACGGTCTGTACAGTATAAAAACCATTACGCCTATGGAGAGTCCCCATAAACCATAAAAACAAACCTGTGTGTGTGAGTGTGAGTGTGAGTGTGTGCGTGTGAGTGTGTTTGTGTGTGTGTGTGTTTGTGTGTGTGTGTGTGTGTGTGTGTGTGTGTGCGTGTGCGTGCGCGTGCGCGCGTGTGTGTGTGTGTGTGCATGTGCGTGACTTGCTTTAAGGAGCAACTTCTCATTATTGCTTCATTTTACATTCTGAACATGTGAATGTTTATCAGTGCAGTCTGTCCCTGAATAAACAGTCGTGCACCACCCGCTTCATTCCCCATGTGCACTATATAGGGCGCACAGCTTGTGTTTATTGTGTATTGTGATGCATTCCTGTGCATTTAGTCATTTGGCTTTCTTTACATTAGCTGATAGAGAAACAAGTCGAGCCAATATAGTTTAAAGAGAGGAAGCAATTTTCTTACCACACCTAGGCGAGGCTTCGCCTGTTTCCGACAGAAACAATGGAATCGAGTTCATGTGTGTGATTTGCATAGAATATCAGAGACCCACAATACATATTAATGTTTAAAACAGATTGCTTATATGGCTTGGGTCAGTAATTCACTGTAGGGCTTTTTTAGCTGCTTGCAGCAGGTGAAAATGGTGCGTCTGATTATTTAGTGAAGTCGCAGCAAACGTCTCCTCAACAACACACATGATCTGAGGAATCATTCAGAGACAGTTTTAAAGGGTTAAGGGGTTGTTAAAGTGATAGTTCACCCACTAAAGATCATTCTGTCTTCATTAACTCGCCCTCGTGTCTGACACTGAACAAATGGTAACCTAAACATGGTAACATCTCGAATTTGGAAGCTGTTTCAGCCACAGAATAAAAAATAAATAAAAGCATAATTATGACTTTTTATCTCACAATTTAGACTTTTTCCTCACGATTCCTCATAAAAAAAACTTGAATTTTTTGCAGTTCTGGGGAACGAACTGCAAGATATAAACTTGCAATTATGAGGAAAAAAGTCATAATTTTAAGATGTAAATTCAGAATTTTGACTTTCTTTCTCGCAATTATAAATTAATGTCTCACAATTCACTTTTTTCTCAGAACTGCAAGTTTGCATCTTAATTTTGCATTTTCTGCATATCTAAAAAATATGAATTGTATAAGATAAAAAGTTGAAATTACACTTTTTTTTCATCCCATCGTGAGAAACTTGCTTGTATACAATTGCCTTGTTTTATTTAAGCAAAACTATTATTTAATATCACTGAATCAACCTAAATACATTAATTTATACCACCAAAACTACTGTAAATGGGTTAAATATAAATTAATACAATACAAATTCATGGTGTTCAATGATGTTTGGACCTCAGTGTGTTCAAAATTGCAACGTTTGTCTCAATTTGTGCTGTTTCTCAAAAAAGTCAAAATTCCAATACGATTTTTTTTTTTACCTTTTTTCTCATAATTAAACGTTTATATCTCGCAATTCTGACTTTTTCTCAGAATTATAAGTTTATATCTAGTAATTCTGTTTTTTTTCTCCACCACTAAATAAAAATGCAATTGCAACTAAAAAAAAATATATATTTTTTTTAAATCTGAAGTCTGATTTCTTTTATTTGTTTATTTATTTAGTTATTTATTTGGAATTGTGATTTTATATCTCACAATTCTGACTTTTTTTGTGAAGTCAGACTTGTTAGATATAAATTTAGAATTGAGAAAAGAAGTCAGAATTGTGAGATAAAAGTTGCAATTACCTTTTTTATTTATTTTTTTATGTCATGGCATAAGCGTTGAAATCACGTTAGTCATATTTTAGTAGTTAATCATCTCTTCATCTCTCTGCTTCTCATCCATAGTTAAGCATCATTAAAAATAATTTCCTCCATCAGGCAGCATTTTGTTCCTTTAACAAATAATAAATCATACCATCTTTACAGAGTGATATTGATGAAGAGCTCAGACAGGTTTTGATCTCGTCTTGATTTTTGTGGTTCTGAAGACCAAAGGCTCTCGACAGCCCGGGGCAGAAGAGTATAGCACATGGGCATCATTTTCTCAACTTTATGTTTATAATTGAAGACGAGCTTTATTGGCAGTTGGCTGTTGCTCTATTTCTTGTTGGAAGCGAGTCAAAGTAGAATCAGCAGGTGGGGTTTGATTGATGGGCCGATGGAGCTGACGGCACATTTCTATCAGACGCCTTGACGAGGCACTGACAGATGACACCACAATAAAACCTGTGAATTACATTTGCTGCAGGACCTCAGATGAACTCGCCACCGACACACGGCTCCAGATTCACGGCTCTCGTGGCCTTCTGTAATCAAACAGACCAAGTGAAACTTTACGGCCTTTGGCATCATTTTAATAGACTTTTAGCATCTAGAATCTTTGTGCAAATGCAAGACGAGGAAGAAGAGTGATTGTGAGAAACAGTGCGGCGTCTGTAGCTCTGTGCCACCTGACTGAGGGAGAGAGACACAGAGAGAACAATAGAAAGAGAGAAAGAGAGAGAGAGGGAGGTGGAACAACACTCGCCGGCGGTGACAGCAGTTTATACAGAACACACTCTATCCTGGGTTTATGTGGGAAAAAAATCACTTCATGCATCTCTCTGTTTGTTTATTTTCTTTCATTCAGAGTGCTGGGTGGTTTCTGTGGTGTACCCGGTGGTTGCTAGGGTGTTGCTAGGGTATTCTGTGTGGTTGCTAGGGTGTTCTGGTGGTTTGTATGGTGTACTGTATGGTTGCTAGGGTATTCAGTGTGGTTACTAGAGTGTTCTGGTGGTTGCTGGGGTATTCTGGGTGGTTACTAGAGTATTCTGGGTGGTTGCTGGGGTATTCTGGGTGGTTGCTGGGGTATTCTGGGTGGTTGCTGGGGTATTCTGGGTGGTTGCTGGGGTATTCTGGGTGGTTGCTGGGGTATTCTGGGTGGTTGCTGGGGTATTCTGGGTGGTTGCTGGGGTATTCTGGGTGGTTGCTGGGGTATTCTGGGTGGTTGCTGGGGTATTCTGGGTGGTTGCTGGGGTATTCTGGGTGGTTGCTGGGGTATTCTGGGTGGTTGCTGGGGTATTCTGGGTGGTTGCTGGGGTATTCTGGGTGGTTGCTGGGGTATTCTGGGTGGTTGCTGGGGTATTCTGGGTGGTAGCTAGGGTATTCTGGGCGGTTGCTAGGGTATTTTATTTGGTTTTGTGGTGTTCTGGTGGTTGCTAGGGTATTCAGTGTGGTTACTAGAGTGTTCTGGTGGTTGCTGGGGTATTCTGGGTGGTTGCTAGGGTATTTTATTTGGTTTTGTGGTGTTCTGGTGGTTGCTAGGGTATTCAGTGTGGTTACTAGAGTGTTCTGGTGGTTGCTGGGGTATTCTGGGTGGTTGCTGGGGTATTCTGGGTGGTAGCTAGGGTATTCTGGGCGGTTGCTAGGGTATTTTATTTGGTTTTGTGGTGTTCTGTGTGGTTGCTATGGTATTCTGTGTGATTCCTAGGGTATTCTGGATGGTTTCTGTGGTGTACTCAGTGGTTGCGAGGGTGTTCTGGTGGTTGCTAGGGTATTCTGTGTGGTTGTAAGGGTGTTTTGGGTGGTTTTAATGGGGTTCTGGGTGGTTTCTGTGGAATTCTGTTTTGTGGGTGGGTATTAGGGTGCACACAGTCTTCTGTGGGGTTTCTATGGTGTCTTGGTGGTTGCTAGGATATTCTGGTTTTGTGACATTCTGGTTGGTTGCTAGAGTTTTCTGGGTGGTTTTATGATGTTCTGGGTGGTTGTTATGGTATTATGGTTAGTTACTAGGGTGTTCAGCGTGGTTGCTAGGGTGTTTTGGATGGTTTCTGTGGTGTTTGGTGTTGTGGGTGGTTGCTAGGGTTATTCTGGGTGGTTTCTAGGGTGTTTGGGGTGGTTGCTAAGGTATATGTGCATTACAAGGCATAACTAATGCATTAAAACTACTTTCATAATGCATTATGGCTTTAAATAAAGTGTTAGTGTTTCCTTTCCACTAGTCTGAATGAAGACGTGTTATGGAAGCAAAATAGACCAGTGCATAAAAACACACTTGTTTTACCTGTATTTAACAACCACTGATCATGTAAAATAATATGGATTTGCAAGTTATATTAACAAATGCAATAATATCAGCCTCTTTTCTTTGACTTTTTCATTCTCGCAGCAGTAAAAATATGACCTTCGTGAGAGACAAATCAAGCATTTGGCACGACAGATATAAACAGTTTATCCAGGATTTGTGCTGACTTATTTATTTTCGGTATGATCTCGTAACAATCCTGCAGGAATTATAATTACGCAACCGACCGGCAGGATGCATAAGACTCGTCGCATGTGCAAACCTGCAGGAAACCTATAAAAGTTATTACAATCATTCATCGTTTATCAATCACGCAAGACAATAAACATGTAAACAATACGATTTCCTGACTGGAACAGTCAAATTAACAGCTTTTATGGGTTTCCTGAGATATGCAGCAGCATACAGACGCATACAACAATATTATGATGATGATTCGCTCAAGCTCAATACTGTGACCTTCAGTTTGCCTCACATTTTCAATTATTTCTTCAGTTTTATTTGCATGTCCTCTAAGCGGCGACCTTAGCGTGCATGTATGTGCACACACACACACACACACACACACACACACACACACACACACACACACTCGGTAGCTGCTGTAAATGGACATCCTGTCTCAGGCGGGCCGAAGGGTTTGTTATGCTTGAGTCGGGTTCAGTGAGTTACTCAACACGGCTCTGGAGACGAGACCTAAGCGCTGGCCAAAAACAACACTGGCTCACGCTGAGAGATGCCCGCTGCATTGTCCTTCCAGACCACCAGAATCGGGCCAAAACCTCACACTAACACTGCGATCCGGCCCGCTCTCATGCCTTAGGGAAGGAATTATTTTTTACACATGATCTTGTGTAATATTCATTTTGTAATATGTGGAAGGATTCTAAGGATTTTCTTGATCTGATCCTAAAAAAATCACTTTACACTCTTAAAAACAAACGTTTCAAAAGGTTTTATCACAGTGATGCAGTAGACGAACCCTTTTCAGTGATCAGTTCTTAAAAGCACCATTTTTTCTTGAGTGTAAAGAACATTTTAACTTTTTTCATTACAAAGAACCTTTTTGTGCAATGGAAAGGTTTCATGGATGTTAAAGAAGCTTCTTTATGGAACCATCAGTTCCAAGAAATAACCTTTATTTTTATTTTTATTTTTATTTTTAACCCTTGTGCTGCTGCTCAAAAATAATCAGCCTTTTAAAAATTGCTTTTAAAAATCTCTATTATCACCAAATTTTGGATTCAGAATTAGTTTTCTTTCATTTAGCACAGGTTTTGTGTTTCTTTTTGGATCTGATTGATCGTAGGCCTCATGATCTGAGCTCATGCACTTCAATTTATGAGTGAAAAAACATTATCTGTGGATAATTTTGGCAATATTCACTGAGATCAGTGAGAGCTGCTATCAGTCATTTACACAAAGAAATACAAAACCTGTGCTAACTGACAGAAAGTTGATAAAAATATTAAATCCAATATTCTGTGATTTATATATTATAAAAATTAGAAATTTAGCTACTTTTTGTAGGCCAGTCATTTTTTAAATGCAACAAGGTGTGCATTTCAAATAAATATATATATATAGCCTGACTCAACATTTTTTCTTTGCATGCAATTCACCCTACACCTAATTCTTCATGTGGAATTTTTTTTTTTTTTTTTTTTTTTTTTTTTTTTAAATGGCTTGTGTTAGCATTACAGAGTTCAACCCATATCAGCAGCATAGTATTTTGCTCAGACATTAGTATGCACACTCATACCACACAGAGCTTTACATTAGTTTGCTTCAGCCCACACAATATGCACTGCTGCCGTATGTACAGCTGCAGCTGACGCCCGTTCAAAGGCTTGCACAATCACTCATAGGTGTCTCTGTACAAAACCCCAGCATGCACAGCAAACCTGAGCCACTTTAAATTCGTTAACCATTAAACTGTATACTGCCGCTTTTGTTTGTTTGTTTGTTTGCTTATCCTGAAGACAGCAGCATTGTCTGCGCTGACATATTCACCTCATGCACAATAAGAATATTCGCTCTAAAAATATCATTCTCATTAGATCAGCACATAACTCAAACCAGTGACTTCTGAAAGGACTGAAAAAAGCGCGCTGGTAAAATCTCAGCCAACGTTGCTATTTACACAACAGTAGCGTGCCTGCAGTGATTGTTTTGATAAATGGGTGACCGTCCACTGTCCCTCCACCCCCTCCGACTGACCCCTGGCACAGCGAGAGCAAACACAGTCTGCACGCGATGATTAACCCGCGCAACGTTCAGGGTTCGAGCACTGTGTGTCTGTGTGTGTGTGTGTGTCTCTGTGTGTGTGTCTCTGTGTGTGTGTGTGTGTGTGTCGACTACCCTGCAAAACTGCTGAACAATTGCCCTTCCAGTTAACTTTACCTGACACAACCTGTTTTCATTAATATTAACAACTGATTTTGTTTTATTATTATGCTACACATGCAAAAATGTATATCTTATAAGTTATAACTATAATGGTACATCTGTAGTCTATGTGTCTATATTTAGACGACAGGTAAGAATGTAACATAATTGCTGAAAAAAGTCCCCAGATGGGAGCTAAACCTGGCAAAAAATATTGATGGTAATATTAATAACTAATATAAATATTATATATTTTGTATTATTATTCTAAAAATGCAAGGGTTCGTTTTTGGGTGAGTCTGATTAAATATTTATATCACATATTTATATATATTTGGGTAGTTACAAGCAGTGTTCTGCTATGTTCATTCCATGGTTGTTGTAGTTAACTAAAATTAAAAATAAAAGTTTATTATTATTCAAAAATGCTTAATGATTAGATATTTATAGCAGATATTTATATATATTTACTTAAAAGCATTGTTAATTGCATGGTTGTTATAGTTAACTAAACTTAAATCTAAAAATAAACCTATAAAAAATTAGAACTCGAAATAAAATAAACTTTGACCAAAATAAAATAGGAAAAATATTATTAGTATTTTATTTCAGCTAGTCAGCAAAGCAACATTTCTCCTTTTCATTTAGCTGAATTTTGTTTAACTAAAACCAAAACTGAAATAAAAATGTATAAAAATGTATAGATGTTTAAAAAAATAAATAAAAATGACAAAAAAACAGCTAAATTACTAAAACGGTTACTAAAACTAAAATTATAAATGAAAACACAACATATAAGAATCATTTAAGATATTAATAAAATACTGCAATATTATTTCAATAATACTAAAGTATTACAGTTTCATTCATCAACTATTTTAAACGTTATTTTTATGTTTAATTATTAAGCAGGCAGTTTTAATGAGTTCATTAATAAGAGACTATGGAATATTATTTGTTTAACTCTTTTATTTGTTAACCCTCTAACTCTAGCACTCTCTATTCTAATTCTATTTTATCTATTTGTTGACTTGACCCTCTAACACTTGCACTCTCTATTTGTTTTCTTACAGCTTGTTTTCTTTTGTGTGTGTGTGTGTGTGTGTGTGTGTGATGGTGTTGCGTGTCAAGCAGTCACATATCTGCTTTCCCTTCAGTGCATGGCTGTTTTCTCGGTGTTTTTGTCTGACTCAGCACAAGCCAGCGCCGCTCAGATTGATGGCTGCCTCTGGATTCCGCACGCAACTATTGTTGTCCTCCGAGGCCCGTGTTCATGCGCTCGCCGAGCCTCCAGAGAACAGAAGGTGATACACAATCGCGCTTGCGTGAGGCGCTCCGCTTTGATGTTTGCCGCTCGCCTTCATTCTCACGCTCGCGCGGATCACACCGCTCGGACATATTTGTGACCCTGGAGCACAAAAGCAGTCATAAGGGTCAATTTTACGAAATTGAGATGTATGCATCATCTGAAAGCTGAATAAATAAGCTTTCCATTGATGTATGGTTTGTTAGGATAGGACAATGTTTGAAAATCTGGAATCTGAGGGTGCAAAAAATCTAAATATTGAGAAAATCATCTTTAAAGTTGTTCAAATGAAGTTCTTAGCAATGCATATTACTAATCAAACATTAAGTTTTGGTATATTTACGGTAGGAAATTTACAAAATATCTTCTTGGAACATGATCTTTATTTAATATCCTAATGATTTTTGGCATAAAAGAAAAATGGATAATTTTGACCCATACAATGTATTGTTGGCTATTGCTACAAATATACCTGTGCTGCTTAAGACTGCTTTTGTGCTGCAGGGACACATATATGAATGGAGTTTATTGATCCCCATGGGGCAAGCTCGTTCTTGCTAAACCTGAGATACTACATTGTGAGGTTTCTGATAAATTACTGTCATGTTTATAAGGTCCTGCTAGATTCAAACGTCACGCAGTTAAATAAAATTAATTAATTAATTAGGCTACAGCGACCTACAATAAACAATAGAAACAATAGACGCCATATTGAATTTAACGTGGATGAAAACGAGGCTGTGCAATGGCACGTGTTGTGTAAAAGTCATATATTTTCACAGCTCACAACATCCAAAAGACACAATATGTAAGTTTTCATCATAAAATATCCATAAACGACTTGCACAGTGTGATATATTTCATGCAGTTGTAGTTAAGTTATCCCAGAAGTTCCCAAGGATTTATAAATCTAGAGAAATTCCAATTTTAAATAATGGCTCGTCCCTGGTTATTACCGCCTATCAATGACATAATATCCACACTACACTCTTAGAAATAAAGGTGCTTCACGATGCCATAGAAGACTTTTTTTTTTAGCTCTCACGTGAATTCTCTCACCATAAACAACAAAGTGCAGATGTAAGTATGATGTAAGTAAGAGATTCATTCATCAAACAGTGTATAGACATCTTTACTGATTATAAGTGGAGTTTTTTGAGAGTGCTTAAACTCACACTAGACTGAAGTCAGACATAATGTTTTTTGACAATGTACATTTTCTTTGCTTGCTTTCTCTGTATAATTTATTCGCTGTTTGAATAACTGTGGAAGGTACAGGTAATAAAAAAATGTATTCATTACCTCATCCGGGAACATGCTTCTTCATAGCGTCATCAAGCTTCGCATTTGTTATTGTTTTGAAAATGCAACCTCTAGCGGCGAAAACGTACATATTGTGCCTTTAAAGTTATTTTCTGAAAGATGTTCCATTGGTGTTACACTACAGTACAATCTACTAACGCTAACTCACAACCAATTTGTGTATATTTTACAAGACGGCTAATTCGTACGAATTCGTTGTACGATGTCACGATTTTGTACGATTTGTCTAAAACCCAGTGACGGGTAGGTTTAGGGGCGGGGTACAATACTATCATATTTTTATAGATGCAATTTAGTTTTATTGTAGTTTTATTGTGGTCATTCATACAAATTCATACAAATTGGGGAACTCGTAAAATACGTACGTTTTAGCAAAGATTTTAGCCACCTCATAAAATATGTACGAATTGTCATGAGATCGGGATAAATCCACTGAAAGTGCTGTACTTCAGTCTACTCACAACTTCGTTTTCATTCCTGTCTGAGATTAAATATGGCATTGGAAATCGCATACTGTCTGATTAGGTACTACTTTTGAATTTAAACTTATGGTGCATTCAAGTCACGTAGGAAAGATTGTATTTACGTGTAAAATGCACATAAATGCCACCATAAAGTCATAATTATGAGTGGGAAACTCAGACTTTCTGAGTCCTGAGTTTCTGTGTTGGACGAAACATGTCAGACACAATGGAAGCAGCATCTAAATTTAGATGCTGCTTCCATTGTGTCTGAGATGTTTCGTAGTTCTGACAATTTCATTAATTTCAACTAACTTACCATCCATTTAGATTCCAAATGGATGGTACGTTTGTTGAAATTAATGAAATTATAAATTTTTTGTCATTTAAAATAAAACTAAATTGCATCTATAAAAATATGATAGTATTGTACAATTTTGATATATACGAATAGAATATACAATGATTAAATTTACAGCACCTTTATAAATTTAATCAAAATGTAAGAAACAAAAAAAAACTTTGATGCATATTCTTTAATCACCATTTTTTATTTTAATTTTAATTTAAATTTAATTTAATGTTATTTATTTAATTATTCGTAGAAAAGGTGCATCGCCAAAGTGACCTGTTATATCGTAATTATGACTTGCCAACTTCCTTCCGGAAGGACTTGAATGCACCATTACCTCACAACCATTTAAAAAGTATGTTCTATATATGGGAACTACAAATGAGATTTGGATGCACTACATCTGCATGTTGTTACTTTCACGTGACTGGGGATTTTTTTTTTTGCATACTATATGAGAAGTGTTTGATTTTGGATGAAGCGAAGGTCTATTTTTACTCAGAAATTGTTAGTAAATTTCACAATTAATTACAAAGGTAATGGCAAGTAACACATTAAATTAAATTAGAAAAAAAATATATATTTTTTTTTTTGTTTTGTTTTTTTTGTTTTTTTTTTATATAAAAAAATATTTAAATAATTTAAATATTTTGTGGGAAATCTTTACAGTGAAACTAAACGTTTCTGGTTATGCTCAACTATATCATGTTTTCTAGAAATCGCTCTTTGTGGGTTCAGTCTCTATTGATTTATAAAATCCTCCTCCAGTGTGGCAGAGATCATTTCTATGTACTCTGTCGTGCTTTACTGAAGGTGAAGGTCGTTTAATCAGGAGTACAAAATCATTTATATAACAGGGTTATTTAACATAAGCAACACGCACACATCCAGAACTTACTGAACAACACTTAAATTCATTGTTTAGAGCCCTTGAAAGTCATTATAACCTACAGTACACACAATACAATCTGTATTAAGGTGCATTAAGACCCCATTTACACCTGCTTTTTGTCTCAGGTGACTGGCAAAGTGTTCAGCAACAAAAACAGTGTACAGGAGTAAAATGTTTGAAGATCTGATCATTCAAATTATGCAGTTTCATGTAACCACATTAAAGTTATACAGTATTATCAACACAAATCTTTTTTGATGTGGCCTTTGGCTACAGAACTTCTTTCTCCTTTAACAACAGGTGTGTGTGTGTGTGTGTGTGTGTGCGTGTGCGTGCGTGAATATGCAATAATTGTTTCTTTTCTCATTTTGGAGTCTCGTAAAAGCTTGAAATTGACTTATTTTGACTTAATTAACTTTATATTTTAGAGAATGTTTTGTACTGTTATCAAGATTTTTAGTCATCAGATACACCACTGTATACAGAATACAACTTGCGGTAAATGTTAACCTGGTTACTACCTCAATTACTTAGAATGTGCATTAAATATAATTAAATAAATACATATAATTCATTCATTCATATTTTCATTTATATTGCTTTCATTCACACATTCATATTGCTTGTGTGTGTGTGTGGGTGTGTGTGTGTGTGTGTGTTTCTATTCTGGTGGGGACATCTAAAATGCAGAAAGTTTCCTGTGAGGGGTAGGTTTAGGGGTAGGTGTATAAAATCCCTGTATTTATTTTTGTATTTTTTTTCCAGCTCAGGTACATTGAGGGCCATGAGTAAAAGTGCAGAATTTTAATCACATACTTCCAAAAGGCCCCTGCTTGCATCTTTAAATGAAAGTGACCGTGTTTTGTAGTTCAGATGCATTAAACCGTTCAGAGCAGATGTGATGTTTGTGTGTTTTTGACATGTCACAGTAATGGACATGACCTCTGACCTCCATGCCTTGCAGCCTGTGGGAAACAGAAGGCCCAGGTGAAGTGTCATGAACCTAATCCTATTAAGACGGGCGGCTCGGGGCACACGCGAGGTCTGCAGCCAGACACACCGACTCCTGCCTCAATCATCTGAGATTCATGAGATTCAATCATCTCCAAGACGCTTTAAGAAACCTCCTGCAAAACTCCTGAGAAACTCTGCTCAAGTGCACCGAGGCCAAAAGCTGCTTTAAACACAAAGGATGCTCACACCAAATGTTGATTTCATTTAGTTAATAGAAGTTAATTGATAAAGAAAATCTATTTATGACAGCATTTTTACATAAGTGCCTAAAACTTTTAACAGCACTGTAGCTTTGCACGAGGAGCGCAGGACAGTGAAAAGAGTTCCCAGGGCATTTGAAGGGTACTTATATGTGTTGGTTTACGAAACCCATGAATGCAAGTGTGTTGAAAGTTTAAATAGTTTTAGATTTATGCATATATTTTGATGCAGTGATGATTTAGCAGATATATTAGCATGCACTGGGATGCATGCGTGTGTTTCTGTGTAGCAGGGAATTGGAGGTGTGCAGTCACAGGTGCAGAACTGCTCCGGATTGCGTGCCGGCAGGTTGTTTTCTCATGCCGTACTTCAAACATGACACTTCAAAACCTCTCGCTCCATTCAGGGCTGTTCCTGCCCACAAAGACACAAACATGACACTGATAGGTGGACGGCCCTCGCAGTGAACCCTGCAGGTAAGATCTGGACGCATTCACACACACACACACACAAGCACGCACATGAACACAGTGTAAATACTGCATGACATCTGTACAGACAAATTGATTCAGGTTACATAATACATGCACATTTTTAATTAAAAAAAATCTCAGCTTCAAGAATATCAGCACATATATAATCTTACAGTATGTATACATTTATTTAAATAAAAAAATATGAATTTCCATCTCAGCCTCAAGAATATCAGTACACACACATTGCATGACTACAGATTACATGATGAAAACTGTAGTTAGTAACATTATCTAGGTTACTTTAATCTAGATTACTTTTTTAATCAAACTTGCCATTAAACATACCATACTGATAGAAAAAAAGAAGTAAGAGAACAAAAACATATTCCATTTTTGATATCAACATCATAAAATGCATTAAACATTGCATTGGTGAGTTGATAATAAGCGAATTAATTAAATCATAAACTCTCGTCTGGCAGTAAAGGTGAGCGCGGCAGGTGCTCGAGTGTTGCGTGATGAAGCTTCACACTCATTTGACTTCTTTCATCTTGTGCGATTCCTTTGAGTTTAACTGCTGAAGGCAAACAAATGTGTCTTGCTCTCTTAGTTTGGCCTTTAACACTGACATAGTGGCTCCAAACACACGCAAACTCTTCATGCTACATTACTGCCTAAGTGTTCAGATGTTTATGCTGTTTTGGCATGTTTTTTTCCCAGTTGCTGTTCTGAGTTCAGTCTCTGCTGTCTCGTTTGTCTCTCTAAGTGCAGTTAACTCAAATTATTAATTAAGGGACCGAATGCAAGCAACACTGATGTTTTTGGATTCGATTTTATTGACTGATTGATTTAATTTGGATTTTGCATTATAGAGACTAAAAAAAAAAAACATTTCTTTGCATGAAAAATAGCATTTGCTCTTTAGGCTTGACTTTTTGATTCTTCACAGTTTGCACTCTAATTTCACTCTGCATAAGTTATTATGATTTGTAAAGTGTTCAAGGCCACTTACAAACAACACTGTTAACATTTTACTTAAAGCCTTTAAATATAATGTATAATAAATGTGTTTTTAATGCATCAATTATGCCTTGTAATGCACCTTATATTGCACTTTATGATCTTTTGAATAATTGTAAACACATTATAATACTTATCTATTCAGAAAGTATGATGCATTAAAATACATGACAAAAAAAACCTTCAAATATTGTAATGTATAATGTATGTAATATATATAACAACAGGTGCATGCACGCGATGCTGTTTGTTAGGTTTATCGTAGCGTGTTTCAAATCACGATAACAGTCTGTGGTGACCGAGATTCTTACAAGAGAAACTATACCGCAGAACAAAGAAATCAGCGCAGTTCGGGTTTCATGCATTTCAGTGACAGCGCTTTACTGACACGCATTGCATTGGTTTGACTCCATTCTGGCGGCTTTTCCTGTTGACACACTGAATGAGATGTGCAGGAATCTGCAGCAGGGCTGTGAAACACACACACACACACAAATACACACACACACCTTTGCACGCGATGCTCTACTTGTTGCTTAATGAGTTACGAGCGCGTGCCAGGCGAACATGACCCTACAAATCAACGCAAAACTCTTTCTTTCGTCGATTTACTCTTCTGCGAATATGCAGGCAATTATCAGATGTGTTGCAACAAACAGTTTATTTAGTCTAATTGCTGAAATTGTCAAAAAAAGATTTATGGCACTGACTTCTGTTTCTGTTAAAACGGTTTTATTAGATAAATAAACATCAAGAAGCATGTTCTTTCTGTGCTCAGCTGTATAGTTTTTTATGAGTTGTAAATATCTAATCTATAATACGCATTGCGCATTTATTTCTCAGTCTATGCATCGATTAGTATTTTTCTAAAAACGGTCAGACAGCTGTTATAATGTTGTAAAATATTATCGTTATCACATATACGTCAAATACATGGCAAAAAGTTTAACTCATTTATTTTCATATATTTCAAGGTTCTTTTAAAGTTTCAGTATTTATTTAGGACTTGTGATACATAAATCTATTATTATTATTTAACCTATCTATATTAATAAATAATGCATCTAGTTTAATAAATATATAGTAAAAATATTGTAAATTTGTTTAAAGGTTCTGTTGGTTTAAAGGGTTGATCATTCATTCACACACACACACACACACACATATATATATATGTATATATATATATATATACCAGTTTTTGTTTCAAACATTGGATTTTATTTATTTATTTATTTTTTGCACATAGAAAAAGAAAGAAAAATGCATGGAAAGAAAAATATTTTTGATAGAAAAAAAATACATTTTTAAAGAACCTTTAAGTCAACATTTCTTAATAGAACCAGTTTTTTTTTTTTTAATAACCTAAAGAAACTTTTTCCACTGTAAAGAACTTTTTATGCAATGGAAGGTTCAATTGATGTTAAAAACTCTTTATGGGACTGATGCCAATAAAAAAACTTTATTTTTAAGAGTACATAATATAATATATTATATCATATAATATGCAAAAAGTAGGCTATAAAGTATAAAAGTACATTCTGTTGTATATTTTGTGCAGCTGTTTTAGGTTTCGTGTGCTGATCTAGAATCTTTTTCTTTTTTGCTCTCCAACAAAAGGGCAACTTCTCACTAGAGCTTCAAAGCTCCTTCAGAGATCCTTAATTGCACGAGCAATGATATATTTGGGATTCTTACGAAGCCGCTCGCGTTGACCCGGGATCTGTTCCTCGTCTTTGATCATCTGAAGACGACCAGACCTCCCAATATGATGATATAAATCATCTGAAGAGCGAAAAGAAAATATATGATTGATCGGTGCTGCCAGAGCATTTCACTCTCATTCAGCGAGATGCTTCATAAAGTCGAAATGCAACAAAAACAAGTAAAGTTTCTACCGAAATCAAGCGCGTGCATGAAATGAATCAATAAAAAAAAAAGCACTATCTGTTCTTGCAGCTTTGAAAGTGACAGAGATCGTTAAACGATGGTAAAGTGAACTCGGTTGCACCTCCAGCATCCTCGGGCGAGCTCTCACGCAACGTGGCCAATCTTTAACCCGCACGCCACAGGTGCATGCACGCGATGCTGTTTGTTAGGTTTATCTTAGCGTTCTTTTAAAGTTTCAGTATTTATTTAGGACTTGTGATACATAAATCTATTATTATTATTTAACCTATCTATATTAATAAATAATGCATCTAGTTTAATAAATATATAGTAAAAATATTGTAAATTTGTTTAAAGGTTCTGTTGGTTTAAAGGGTTGATCATTCATTCACACACACACACACACACACATATATATATATGTATATATATATATATATATGTAGTCACATCATTTAGATATGTGTGTGTTTGGAAACGCAAGAGAACTTAATTAAGTCTCTAGTTACTCTAATTTTCTCCGTTAATGTTGCGACTAGGGATCGATCCCCCTGTAATAAAATCTGACTCCTATCACTGATTCTCTCCCATTCACAAAGCCTCCAGCTCTTCGTGACGTCACGTGAAGAGCAACCAATCGCCACGAGCTCTTCTCTATAAAAGTTTTCCCCGCTGGAACACTGCAGCACTCCTCTGGAGCTAACTGACTCTGAATAGACAGATTCAGCTGAGAAGAGGAGAAATATTCGTCCGATCGCTCTGGGTAAGTCTGATGGCAATGCTTCTTTCTTTTAGAGAATATTTGATTTCATTTCAATTTTCAATTTCAATCTTTTTTTTTTTTTACACAAAAATATAAAAAAATTAACTCTTCTTACTTCTTTTACACAATATTGTACCACTTGTTCATTGACTGGTGTGCATTAGATTTTAGAAAATGGATATATAGATAAAAATTTATGGTCTTTAAATATATATATATATATATATATATATATACATATATAT